AGGACAGAGCGATTGTGACAGAATATATCAGTGATTGTTTTGTGTATTAAGTAACAAAATTACAAAGTGACTATGACACAGAATAGCTCAGTCAGTGTTTTGTATAGTCAGTAAAATAAAGACATAGCAATTGTGACACTGAACAGTACAGTCAGTGTTTTTTACCTTCAGTAACAACAGGACAGAGTGATTGAGAAACAGAATAGCTCAGTTAGTGTTTTGATTATTCAGTAACAACAGACAGGGTGATTGTTACACAGAATAGCTCAGACAGTGTTTGCTGTATTCAGTAACAACAGGAAAGAGGGATCGTAAAACTGAATAGTAACTGTTTTGTATATTCAGTAACAACGGGATAGAGCGATTTTCAAACAGAATAGCTGAGTCAGTGTTTTTTGTTTCCAGTAATAACACGACAGAGCGATTGACACAGAATATATCGTCACCTTTTTGTGTATTCTGTAACAAAAGGACAGGACGATAAGGACACAGAATATTCAGTTGTTTTTGTATATTCAGTAACTACAGAACTGGACGATTGGGACACAGAATAGTCAGTGGTATATTGAGTAACAAAAGGACAGGGCGATTATGACACGGAATAGCCCAGCCAGTGTTTTCTATATTTAGTAAGAACAGGACAGAGCGACTGTGACACAGAATAGATCAGTCAGTATTTCGTGTAATCAGTAATAACAGGACAGAGAATTGTGACACAGAATAGCTGAGTCAGTATTTTGTAAATAGGGTAACAACAGGACAGAACGGTTATGACACAGAATATCTGATTCAATGTTTTTTCTATTCAATAACAAAAAGACAGATCATTTATGATACAAAATACTCCAACTCTTTTTTCTATATTAAGTAATAAGAGGACAGAACGATTATGACACAGAACAGATCATTCAGTGTTTTGTTTATTCAGTCAAAACAGGACAGAGCATTATGACACACAATAGTCAGTAACAAAGCGATTGTGACACAAAATATTCAATGTTTTGTGTAGTCAATAACAACTGGGCAGATCGATTCCGACACAGAATAGTCAGTGATTTGCGTATTAAGTAACAAAAGGACAGAACGATTGTGACACAGAATAGATAGTCAGTGTTTTGTGCATTTAGGATAGACAAAACAAAGCGGTTGTGACATATAATATCTCAATCATTATTTTGTGTATTCAGTAACAACAGGACAGAGCGATTGTTACACAGAATAGTCAGTGGCTTATGTATTCGGTAGCAACAGGACAGATCGATTATGACGGAATAGCTCAGCCAGTGTTTTCTGTATTCTGCAACAACAGATCACATTCGTTGTGACACGGAATACCTCAGTCAGAGCCTTGTGTATTCACTAACAACAGGACATAGCGATTGTGACATAGAATAGCTCAGTCAGTGGTTTGTGTATTCAGTAACAACAAGACAGGACGGTTGTGACACAGAATAGTCAGTGTTTTGTATATTCAATAAAAATAGCACAAAGTGATTTTGACACAAAATATTTCAGCCAGTGTTTTGTGTAATCAGTATTTATAATGTTTAATTTTTCATCTCTAACTATTAAAGGCTTATTCCCTTTGTCACTGTGTGGAGGACGCTTTCCCGCTTTTATTTTGGTATTGCTCAACAATATAGATTGTCGTTTAGCAACGAAACTATATCCTTATTGTTCTTAGGCCGACTATGTTGTTTATGTTGAATGCTCAATATTCATGTTGAATTGTTAGAAAGGATTGTTTTTATTCTTTATTTTTTTTAAATTCGGTGATATAACAGCAAATAGTTTAATTAAGAAGTTTTATGACATTGAGTTATAGCCAGAAGCAAAATAGAATCTACCAAGTAGTGTTTCAGCTAAGCCTTACGTTGTTTTTATGTATTAAGCCTAATGCCTAAATTAGATTACAAATAGGCCTAATATTACTAACGTTATAGTCAGTGTTTAAAAAGTTGTTAGTGGTTAATTAATAAATATTATTTTCGTATTTTAACACATATATTATCTACTTGCCTTAAAACATAAAGAGAAATAAACGTTTATTACTATCAAGTATCTTTTCCCTTTTGTATAGTCGAAATAGTTGAAATGTTCGCACTATGCTATTTACCTTCTGACCTAGAATGCAGTGAAGAGGCTCAAGAGTGCTGTTTAAGTCTCTTCCAGAGTGCACATGAACATTTCTATTACCTGGTGATATATATATATATATACACTGGCCGTTAAAATGTTAGATAGATTGTATTACCTGATAATATATATATATATATTACTGGTCGTTAAGGTGTCAGGTAGATTGTATTACCTGATAATATAAATATATACTGGTTGTTAAGGTGTTAGGTAGATTGTATTACCTGATAATATATATATAAACACTGGTTGTTAAGGTGTTTGTTAGATTGTATTACCTGATAATATATATACACACTGGATGTTAAGGTGTTAGGTAGATTGTATTACCTGATAAATATATATATATATATACTGGTTGTTAAGGTGTTAGGTAGATTGTATTACCTGATAATATATATAAACACTGGTTGTTAAGGTGTTAGGTAGATTGTATTACCTGATAATATATATAAACACTGGTTGTTAAGGTGTT